AACAAAATGAGCAAAAAACGGTGCGGTCCACTTACTAAATTAAGTAAGGTCGTCCATCCACTATGTCCCCAGACTTAGGGATCAATTATTGAATCCCAGTGCTAGTATCTTCATTCAGATCCGATTTAGATCGACGTTGGTAAGTAGAATCTCTTACGCCGCCTGGTAGAAGCAGCGCATCTTGTCGCTGAGACCGTCGAACATCAGCTTCTGTGTCTGTCCAGATTCCTTCGACAAAGTCTTTGTCATCTCGAGCTTGTAGTAGTGCCGCATCACACAAGCTCCCAGTCGACTAAATGGAGATGGAGAGACGACAGTCCAATTGTAGTATTGTAAGTGTAGCTCACCGCTGGGAAGAAACCACTTGGTCGTGCCAACGAGAATGATACGGTTACCTTCGTCGTACTTGCGAAATTTCGACACAGCGTTACTACACAGCACACCTTCGACCATCAAAGCAACGGCGTTCATATCCAGTGGCGTTGGCGTCTTTCGTCAATCTACAGCTAGAAAATAACCGTGACAAGTCAGCATTCGCTGTTGTGGCATATCTTCGCCACAATCGTACACACATCGCAAAAAGACCTGTCAGTGGCCTTCCTGGTGCTCGACAAATATCGCCATAGAAATTCTCGTATCTTCTACATTGAGCAACGCACAGGCGTGATCGAAGTCGAGCGGATACAGTTGCTCAAAGGCATGTGCTGCCAGCGAAACGAGATCTTTGTACTGTCATCCATGGCTGACAGCATCGTGTCGGTATCGAGTCGTAACCAATCCAAACTGTTCAACATCTCGTCAAGCACATATTCACTAAAGTTGAGCCCAAGAATCGGTCGCTGTATGTTTGGCTAGAGATGTAGAGATGTAGAACCAGGTCAATATCCTGCTCAACAAAACACAAAATTATTAGCATTAAGGCAGTATGTATATAACAATTTGAACTGGACCTGAAACGCATGAGTCTTCTCTAGAGTCTTCAGGATTGGCACGAATGCTCATCTGCTCACTCAACAAAACCTTCAGTTCTCTGTTGAGTTTTTCAGCTTGACATCGCTTCTCGCTCTCAATTGCTGCTAGACTGCGCCATTGACTAGTAGACAACACAGAACACCCCGCCACTATCACGATGTCCTTGATTTGATTTCGTCGCGCAGCTTGCAGGTCTACCAATTGAATACTTAACGCCTGAGCTTCCAACTGAAGCGTCTGAGAGGCGCTTGCGACGCAGAGCTCCATCGAGTATGGCACGCCCCTTACTCGCGTACGCTTCTTTTTCGGTCTACGAGTTTTCTTCTTGCTTTCTTCCATGGTGTCGGTGGGATGACTCTTTGAATGATCTGTGCGCTGAATTTTCTGTTGGCATCCCCTACACTCTTATGTTAAAATATTGTGTACGTGTGCAGATGTTTCGTATACCGACCCCCGTCACAGTGATTGTCCCTATCTTCACATATCCTGTCGTATCTGGTACTGAGATTTATGGATTTACTGAGATAATCTGTCATTGGACTTTATAATAATCTAGTACCTATTAATTGCCAATTTAACGGCAACTTCCTTTTTTGAGGAATCCATGATTATGAGGAAAGCAAGGTTATGTTGGTGTTCAGAATTTTACGCTGTCACGTCTAGTCATCAAGTACGTTGTGAAGGCCGAAAAACGGCAACAGGAGTACGGCTGAAAGTGTGAATATACATCGGGAGTGCCAAGACATTGTTTCTTTTGAGCTGCGAAGTGTGGACATTGTCCATTATTATCTAGCGATCCCGTGCCAATACTATCACTAGCACCACAAAGTGTGTCCGTTGTTAATCTTGCCAACCTCACTACATCCAAGTGAGTTGTGCTCATTCCTAAATGTTTCATCCTCAATAAAGACGATGCGAGTGGTTCTTGTTGCCGCTTTAGAGGTTTTCTGGCGTTTCCACTGCTGTCACGACTAGC